ATCTTCTTCTGATAAGGAAGAAAAGTTTGAATGAAAAAAAAAAGAATAAGCGAAAGTTTTTCCCGAAGGCGCAATAAAAAAAAAGTTTTCTTTTTCCTCCACTTCGGCATACAAAAAAAAATTCCTCTTCATCACATGGCACCAGTCAAGTTAATACAAGAGCCAGTGAAACTATAAATCCCATAAGCTTCTGTTCATTTAACAACGCCAAATTACATAATTTATTATCTGTAATGGGATGAATATAAAATAATTATGTGAGGATATCCTTATACAAGTATATGTGAATGTAAAGAACCGAGGGATAATAAGTGATGCAAGTTTAAGAGGCGGAGACATAATATACATCACCAGAATGTGTATACATACATTAACTGATAAAATGAAGTGCTGGAGACGATGAGTGAACATAAAAAAAAGTTTTTCATACAGAAAAAAGCTAATTTATGATTAATTATGCACATATGTCGAAGTCAAATCCTTATAGACATGCGGGCGACGAGCATAAGAATTACAGCAGTGACATACACAAAAAGAAGAACCGAATGTGTGGGCAAGACAAGTAAGCTTAATTAGTAATGCGTGTTAGGAATAAAAAAAATATGGAAATAAAAAAGTATTAAATGTTGATGGACTTTCTCAATCATACATCCATCATCGTCGTGTAAAAAAAAGGAGTATGTAGGATTGGGAACAATGTACTCATTCATATGTTTGTACATACAATGACAGCATCAGTTTTCTATGTTGTATAAAAACTCGTTGAATTTATTTACTCATTCCCTTGGGTTATTTGATGATGCTGCTAAATGAAAATCTACAGTCCCAATCCCTCCTTTGCTTTACTCATTCATTCATGCCAGCGTCATTAAAAGTAGAGCTTTTGTATTTTATTTTAAAGTCAATGGATGTAGGTCAAGGGATAAGAAATCTTTTGATGTTTAAAGCTAATTAATTTTACAGTTTACGACCTTTGAGGTTAATGAAAATTCAGTCTTATTCTTATAAAATTAATTCTTTTAAGATGTAAAATTTTTCCAGACGATTATGCTTGAGCAGGAATAGACATTTGGTTTAATAGCTTGAAGTCGTTTTCTTCTTCATTTTTATGAAAATTTGAGAAGAAATAAAAAATAATATTTTCGCGTATTTTTTAAAGCCATGCTGTCAAATTCAAGCAGAACTCTGATAAGATTTTAAGATCCTCATCTTACTAAGTTCGTTTGGTTTTCTGCGAAACCAAGAGATTTATTTCTTCAAAGGAATCTTTCATTGAATTGGCTTTGATCCTTACCTTTTAATAACGAATTTATGAAATAATTAATTTAATTATTTGTTCAGGGTTGGTTGGAAATTAAAAATTAATCATCAAAGAAGAGGATTTGGCTCCAAAAAGTGTTTCTTCTTCTCATGAATAGACCTTGTTTCCATCACCAATGTTTCTATCATTTACGCGCCTGTATCGTAGCCAGGGGGTGGATTTGCGGGACAAATCTCCTTTCGTCTTGAAAACTTTCTTCATTTTGCTAGAATTTTTATGAAAAACTCGAAAAAAAACACCCCCTTCCCCACCCACTAAAAGTTTTCCATACAAAAAAATTTTTTGCCCCCCCCCCCCCCCCCTTCAAATTTCTGGCTACACTATAGGGAAATTTAAATTCAAACTGAATGTAAAATTTAAAGAAATCGCGAGGAAAAGGAACCTCATTGTACCTCCTCCTAGCTACATTCATACTTGACTTAATCTATCCATAAACACAGGGGCGTAGCAAGAGTATGTGGCGCTCGGGGCGTTTTGCAGCTAATGCCAGTTTAACGAGTGAGGATACGCCAAACCACATTACTCAAACCTAAATTATAATTTATAGTGGGATCCGAACCACTCTTTTAATAACCACTCGTTTGATAACATTTCTGGCTGTAGCCTCCAAAGGAAGGCTGTGAGCTTGCTGTGAGCCTCATTTCCAGTACATATGATTTGAAAAAGAAAATTGAATATTATTCAATTCCCAGTCTCGAACCCACGTTCGCTGTGTCTATATTGCAATAATTAGGTACCGAAGTACTAAATCATTCCGCTACTGAGCCATTTCAGTTCACGTGGACAAATGAATAAAGCTGCTGATAATACAGAAGTTGCCTAGATTGATGACCTTATCTAATTAATATAGCCTCATCTTAAATACTTTACATCTTACTAATTTACAGCTAGGCTCAATCTTCCCCAACACTACACTTAATGACATAAAGTGTAAGATGATAAAAACCAACACTCACAAAAAATATCAAGCATCAGTTTAGGCGATAGAAAAAAAAATGTTCCATGAAATGAGGAAAATCACAATAAGTCATTAATATAGAAAAGAGTGACATGAATAAATTGTTGTTATGAGGACGTTGAAGAAAAAAAAATAAAGCATGAATAAAAGAAAATTAATTTTTAAATTTTTTTTGACATCAGAATGAAGGAACGAACGAGTGGACGACAGCATACACATTCATAATAAAGTGATTAATTATGATGTGAAAATGGTCATGAAGGAGGAGTGAAAAATGCTGAGGTTTGAACACCTCTGAAAAGGTCAATTCCCAACAGAAAAATAGTCCTCAATTAGCAGGGATTGAGAAAAAAAATCCAGCATGTAGCTTATTAACTCATTTCATAATTTTTAAATTATTTAATGAATGGGTATGAGAAGTTTTGTAAATAAACAAATAGAATTACCGTTCGTTCATTTACTTCCTGATTCCATAGCGTGCTTCTACATTTAAGTCTAATGCCCAAGAGAGCATTTCATATTGTACAATAAATACGTGAATGAAAATTTTCAATTGTATAAAAAAGAATTTCCTTTTCACTTTTAATTCAAAAATTTCCCATCCGACATAGATTTCGAACAATAATTGTTTCCGGACTAGACAACTGAAAGCTCATTAATGATCTAAATAAATTTATAGCAGCAGAAACTTGCTGACTGCTTTTCTCATTTTGTGGGGAAGAAAAAAAATATCGAGTTGAATAATTCAAAAGTTTTATTGCTAATTAAATTAAGAAGATCTCTTCAAAATGTCAATTCTATAGAGTAGACAGATGGAGAAGTCTTCATTGGCGAGACAGTAAGTCTAGAAAGATTTTTAATGATTTTACTGTCACTGGCAACTTTATTTTTATAAATAAAAGTTGATGTCTTAATTAATTAACAAGATACGATTCAATTAAATTTGTTGCAGTATAAAATTGTTGAAAGGAGTTTGAGATGTAATTCTTTATGATACGACAGGAGATAATAGGTATTGTCTGGGAGATTGCAAGATCTTCTGAGAAGTGAATAGAGTTTTGACAATAATAAGGATTGTTTTTCGACATTTATCTAGGGTGACCATCTGCGTAGTTTTTCAACGGACAGTCCTGTATTTTTCAAGACTGTCCTGTATAAATTTTTAAATTTTGTTCTAGGTCCTGTATTTTTTTCATGAAAATTTCCGTTAATTTTCGAATTTTACTCTATGTCCTGTTTTTTTTTGAAAAAATTTACCAAATGTCCTGTATTTTCATGAAAATTAGATGGTTACCCTACATTTATCTTAATTCCTTGTAAGTTAAATATATTTTGACTTATATTAAAGGTGTTATTGATGATGTGCTGGTGTGAATCGGACAATTGATTCATTCAAGAACTAGTCTATTCATGATGTTCAATCATGTTTAATAATTCAACAGAAACGATCAAATTTTGAATCCTAAAATTGCAATTAAAATTATTCAACACATCCTAATTTTGATTCTATATTTTCAACAATCAACTGAAACAACAATCTAATTATTATTTATCGAAGCCTAATAGAATTACTAATAAATTGAACGTTACACAGAATTTTAATTGCCACACAAATTGCGGTTTGCATTAAAATTTTTTATTATGTTAAATGAAATTTCAATAAATAATTTGCAACTATCTGCGGTTAATTGACAGAATTAAAGAGGAAAATAATGTTCATCAATTAACGAATTTAAATGTTTTTTATTTTGTTGAAAGCATTAATATGCGTGCACGTGTTATGGGAAATTTTTAATTAAGTGAATTGTGTATAAAAATTGAGGTAGAGAAATAAAATTCAAAAAAATTTAAATATAAATTGTTAGATAGATATTAAATAGCTGCATATTGTCTATAAAATGTTAAGATGCTTCTCAAAAAGATGGAAGATTTTAAGAATTTTTGTCAGATTTAAATTTAAGGTTTTTATTTAAAAACAAATGAATTTTGAAAAATTTAGAATTTTTTAAAAATTTGATTTTATTTAAAGTTCAACAAATTGCAATGTTTAAATTTTATTTTACAGAATCTTTCATGATTCATTAATTTAGAGGAATTCAATGGTGCGGAACTGATCAAAATGATCAAAAATGATCGAAATTGAACAAAAATGATTAAAAATGATCAAGATTGAACAAAAATGATCAAAACTGATCAAAAATAATCAAAAATGTTCAAAAAATGATCAAAATGAATAAAAATGATCAAAAAATGATCAAAATTGATTAAAATCTAATTTATCAGTTCCGCACCTTTGGAAAAAGTTTCCATTAATTCGTTGAAATAATTAACCTTAAAAGTTCTCAGAAATTCTTTAAAATTTTCCACCAGAGAATTAAATAAATTACCTAAATCCTTAAGACACAATTAGCAAGAATCTCTCGACTTAATCAGATACAAAATTTGTAAACAAAAATCTGTAGAAAGCTGCCTAAAAATTGAATTTGTAATATAGAGTAAAAATTAATATGTAAACAAAAAACAAACTTATAGAAAATGCATGCGAGTGAGATGAAAATTTATACATTCAATTAGAAAATACAATAAAATTAACAACTTTAAAAATTTATCGATCTAAAATCTGAGGTGAATTTTTTTTGGAAAATGTTTGCCAACAGGAATTAACAAATGCTGAATGAATCTGTAAAGTTTGTAATAACTTTATACATATAGTATAGATTGATGATCATAGTAAATAAAACTATAAAATAATTGTAATAAAAATAAATTGCAATTGTTAAAATGTTTTTGAATTTGTTTCAATGAAGAAATGAAGTTTAAATCCTTAAACATTTTACAAATTGTAATTTCACGCTCATTATGTACTGATTTATTGATGAAAATAAAGAAAAATAATTAAAAGAAACTTGTAACGAATCAGATCATTCTTTACGGAAATATTCACACAGATGCGAATTTATAGAATTTACGAATGAACCAACAAAAATTTCAGAACTTTTTCCCTCTCGAAAAAATATCCTCAACAAAGCTTTAAATATCCAGTAGAATTCAACTTGCTTCAAGAACTAAATTGGACGGATGGAATGAAAAAAAAATCTTAAGATATGCTTAAAGGGGCCAACATTTGAAGGGGGAGGAGGTTCAGGATTTCGTGACTGCTCAGATAAAGGAATTTTGTGATAAAGAAATTTTTGATATCATGTTTTTTGATGGGCTTCATTTTTTGCCTGTACAGGGGTATCATCAATACATTTGATTAATTCCGCAATTTTAACACGTTGGTTTTCAGAATATCCCCAAAGTCCTTGAAATTCTCTTAGACTTCCTTTTTTAATTATGTTTTTCATTTCTTCTATACTACTCGTAAAAAAAATATTTCGGTTGTTCAAATCTTCTGTTTTGATCTTGAGCAAATTAATACTGTTTTCAAAATCTTCAGCTTTGCCTTCGGTCAAAATTTTAGCTTTTTTGGCTTCTTCTCTATCTTTTTCAGACTGTTTAGCTCTATATTCAGCCTGTTCAGCTCTATTTTCTGCTTGTTCAGCTGTTATTTTAGCCCGTTCAGCTTGTTTTTCAGCCAATGATTGAGCTTTTTTAGCATCTTGTACTTCTATTTCAGCTTGCTGTACTTTATTTTCTGCAAACGCTTGAGCTTGTTTAGCTTCTTGTCTATCCCTTTCTGCCTGCTGAGCTCTATATTCAGCCTGTTCAGCTCTATTTTCTGCTTGTTCAGCTGTTATTTTAGCCCGTTCAGCTTGTTTTTCAGCCAATGATTGAGCTTTTTTAGCATCTTGTACTTCTATTTCAGCTTGCTGTACTTTATTTTCTGCAAACGCTTCAGCTTGTTTAGCTTCTTGTCTTTCCTTTTCTGCTTGCTGTGCTCTAATTTCAATGAATTTTAGAGCTTGTTTAGCTTCTTGTCTGGCCTTTTCTGATTGTTGTGCTCTATTTTCAGCAAAAGCATAAGCTTGCTTAGCTTCTTGTCTGTCCTTTTCTGCTTGCTGAGCTCTATTTTCGGCAAATATTTTAGCTTCTTTGGCTTCTTGTTTCTCTTTTTCTACATGTTGTGTCTTCATTTCGGTTAATGCCATTGACTGTTTGGCTTCATATTTGTATATGTCTGCTTGATTTGCCCTAGATTCTGCAGTCAATCTTGCTTGTTCTGCTTGCTGTTTTTCTTTTTCTGCTTGATGTGCTCTAATTTCTGCTGAAGCTTTGGCTATTTCAGCATTTTGTTTATCATATTCTGCTTTTATAAGTTTCTTTTCAACTGCTGCTAGGGCTTGTTCGGCTTGTTTTACTCGCGCATCCGCTAAATTTTTAATTTCATCAATTTTGTTCTTTTCTTCTATAAGTCTAAATTTATCATTTTCAGCTTGCTCGGCTTTTGATTCAGCTTGTTTGACTCTTTCTTCTGACTTTTTATTTATTTCTTCCAGCTTAAGATTTTCCATTTCAGCTTGCTTTTGATTTTCTATAGCTTTATGTCTCTCGTTTTCAGCCTGTTGCTTTTCTTCTTCTGCTTTACGCTTTTCCAATTTTGCTTGTTCCTTTTCTTGTTCAGCCTTTAACTTCTCTTCTTCAGCTTTTTGCTTTGCTTGTTCAGCTTGTTCCTTCTCCTCTTGTGCCTTTAACTTTGCTTTATTTGCATTATCCTTTTCCTGTTCAGCCTTTTCTTTATCTTCTTCAGCTTTAAGCTTTGCTTCCTCAGCTCTTTGCTTTTCCTGTTCAGCCTTTTCTTTAGCTTCTTCAGCTTTTAGCATAGCTTCTTCAGCTTTCATTTTCTCTGCTGTTTCAAATTGAGACTTTTTCCAATCTTCATAAATCTCGTTGATTTGTTTTCTTAACTTAATTTCATATTTTTGCTCATGATTCTCATCTCCCATCTTCTTGGTCATTTTAAATGTCTTCATAATCTCTGTACTACATTCCTCGTGCAATTCCAAAATATCCTCTTCTTTAACCAAGCCTTTACTTTCAATTAAAACTTTATATTTATTTACACATTGTTCAAGAAGCATATTCATTGAGCTTTTGACAGTAGCTGCAAAGAAATTCTGAACTTTTGGAATTTCATCCGACTCAAATAATTGAAAATAAGATTCAATATATTTGCATATCTCACTTCCTGAAGACTCGTTTGAATTAATCTTTTTTAAAGTAAGATTATCAGGAAGAAGAAGATGTTCAACAATATTTTGAAGCTCGTTTTTAAAATCTGCTTCCATTTGAGCCCATCTGCCGTCAAACTCTTTAGATGAAGCAACGGAGCGACCAGGATGCGGAAGTACACAACATTTGATTTCCTCAAATGAATTCGATATCGATTGACGAACTTTTGCCAATTCTGATTTTTCATCTTGATTTATCTTGAAGATTTCTTCGAGATATTGATTTCCACCATCAATTCCATAACTATGATCTTCGGGATTATTCCAGTCTCTAATTAAGAACAATAGTTTTTGAAATGGACATTTTTTCTCTTCTAGACTGTCAACACCAGCAAATCTTGCGTATTCTGTAGCGAACTGTAAGTATTGAAGATGATCTTCCTGGATTCTATTTGCAATATTTAGAACTTGTATTGAGCAAATTAAAGTTCCAAGACTAAAAATTCTCGAATTGTTATGTAAAGTTGTTTCTTTATCATAAAGACCTTGAGTATCCATAACGATGATTGCAATTTTATCTCCAGTTTTATCCATAGTATGAAGAAAAACGTCACTCCAAATAACAATTCCAGTTGTATCGCGATTAGTTGCTGAGCTCCATGAAAATCCTCTAAGAGGTTCATCTTCATCGCCCATCCAATTCGGATTTTTTTGAAATGAATCAGATTGTTCTTTATTTGGATTGTTTATTGATGGGAACTACAAAAATAAACATTTTGAATTTCTAGGTAATGAATTATAATAAACAACTTACTTACATGAGCATACAAGAACCTCAAGCAATAATCAAGAAAGAAACTTTTGCCACTTCTAAATGCTCCAATTAATGAAATTATTGCGACCTTACGATCTTTAATTTCAGGATGATTGAAAATGTTTCCAAGTCCTTCACTATCAATTAAAACTTTCTTTTGATCAGTAAAATTCCAAATACAAATTGGTTTTCCAAATGGATGATCGTGAGTAGACATTTTAATACAAAATTTATGTATAACGCTCTTCAAAGTTTATTCTACACTAATCTAATATTTCAAGGAAGCGGCAAAAACACACTTTTAAGATAACTATAGCGGGAGCAGCTATTATCATGAATTTATGATAAGGGGATGACAACGCAAAAAGTAAATCATGTCCAAAAACATTAGACAATATTGAAAATTGCACAGAAAAACCTAATAATGTAAATGACAATTCTAATGAATTCTTTCTACTTTTTGATGCACCTCTGAAAATATGACCAAGCTTTTTTATTTCTTTCTGTTGTCCTCCCTTTATCACTAAAAATGATAATTCTAGACACTTGTTTGCTATTAACACTATAATCTATTTTTAGACTCTAAATACAAACAGAAAATCTTTTCGAGAAGCCGAACTTTGCTCGCGATTTGTATGTGAATATGTTCGGGTTTCTAATGAATTACCAAAAAAATCAAATACAGCGAAAAGTCTCGGCTAAGCATACATCTTCGCTTCTCTTCTCAGAAGTATATAAACGTCAATACATTGTGATTATTAAAGCAATATTGAATTTAGAACTTACTTACTTACTTCCTTTGCTGAGGCGGACGTGGGTTTATTGCTGCGCTTAGAGATTTCCTGATGACAGCTCTATCCTTAGAAACTTTTTGCCAGTTCGGGATATTAAGGACTCTAGCGTCCCTTTCAACACATCCAATCCACAACATCTGCGGTCTTCCTCTTGATTTCTTGCCATCCATAAAGTCTGCTACTGTCACTTTTAGGACTTGGGCATCTTGAGGTTAAAACTAGCGAAAATTAAAATAAACCCAGTTTTTTTCATTCAAAAAATTGAAAATCCTTTAAATTCTTCATTTCATCAAAAAAAATTATTTGCCTTACTTTAACATATATCTGATTTTTGTAACAGAATAATATTGTCAAATAGATTTATTATGACAAATTATCCATAATAATTTATACAAATACCTTTCCCATTTGTATTATTACTACTCATGGTGATGTTTTATGGATCTTTTTAAAGAACTTTCTTCTTCGTTTGAATTGAAATTTATTTTCATCTCTTCAAAATATAAAGATTTATGTATTGATTTATCAATGGTCTCGTCTCACTCAACGACCTCTAATAAATTATCCAATTTGACTATTCGTCTTCATTTCCAAATGTGTGATTAAGTGACACAGATTTGAAATGTGTCATTCAATTTTTAAAGACACAAAGAAGGAATAGGGATGAAAAGTTTAAAAGGGGGTAAATTGGTCGATGATGTTGTTCTTGAGATCTATATTATTTGCATCCTCCCTTTTGGAAATTTATATTAAAAAAATAAAATCAACATTCCAGAAGTCGGTTCCTAGATTTAGTGTAACTTGAATTGGGAATAGAAAAATAACTCACAAAAACAATAATTACACTCTTGCAATTAACGCCATACTCTAATTTTTCAACCTAGTAAGAGTCCGTTCACTTATTGTGTAATGCAAAAAAAGACTTTTTAGACCCCCCCCCCCCCCCCTCCTTATTTGCATAGCAAAAACAGAATTGAACAGTTAATTTAATTTAAAAAATTAAAAAGGGATTAAAAAATAAATATGCGGACGCCTACATTATCATATACCAGCTATCGATTGCAAAAAACCAGAAGTCTTTAAGTATTTCCAGTTCCAAGTTTTTGTACAGCCAGCCAGCCAAAGAAGAATTTTAAGTGTAGTGTTTGCGCTAAAAATTTATTGATGAGGCTTATTAACCCCTAAAATTTTTATTCTTAAAAGACAATTTATTTAACTTATTTTTAAAATTTAAATCCATTTTTAGCGACATCTATGAGAAGTTTTTGTAAACTATTTCAGAATTTTAGTACATTTTCAGATCTAAACATCAGATGTTGATTTGTTTATCAACTTTATCAGTACTAAGAGTGAGCTGAGAGTTGAACAAATTTATCTTTCCACTTGAAGTTGCAATAGTAGAATTATGAAATAACTAAGGTAGTGTTCAGACAGCATTGGAAGTGATACAATCGTCTCTAGATATTAGTTGATTTTCGTGAATATATTCAAAGATTACACAAACTTACACGTCAGTGAAAATATTTTCTGCCGGCAAAAATTTTTAATTCAAAAACTCCAAATAAAGCCACTTAAAAAGTTGTGCGTTTTTATTCAGCAGCTGACAATAAAATTTCTAATATTTACATTTGGCACTTCTGAGTAAATATTGATCATTTAATTTAAAACAAGTAAAAACAATTATGACTGATCAACAAAAGAAAATAAACTTTATTGAGAATTCACTTCCAAAGCTGATTCTTGAAAGAAATGAGGAACTGAAAAATCATGACATTGTTAAATGTACGGCGACTCCGAATTCACAATTAGATGGATTTATGGCAGCGATTTATTCGGTAGAGTTGGTGTTGAAGAATCCAAATGAAGAGTAAGTATGAACAAGCAACAGGTTAAATAAAAGTTCAAGGTCGATGTGGTAAAGATAGATTTTTAAAAACGCCAAAAAATCAAATTCATAAAAACCGCCAAAATATTATTGACATAAAATTAATATAAACTTGTGTATGTGCTCTAATACGCAAATATGTTATCTCTGATATTCTAAACATTTATTTACAAACAATTTAATTTTCTCATATCATAATTAATTGTCATTGAAACCATTAATATTTTTGTGGACGAGCATATTGTTAAATATCATAAATGTTTATTGACTTTGATAAATAAAACATTTTAGTCAATTAATTTGAATATAGAATTTATTTATTTTTATTGAATTTCTGAGAATTATTAAATGGACAAAACTTGTTAATCTAGTGTTGGCAAACCCAAGTGTCTCGGAAAAATTCGACAAAGCCAACAGTGTCGTGTGCGGTTTCGGTCAAGTCCCACCAATGTGCTCTGTGTCACAAAAAAGGTCGCTCACTTCTGAGTTAGTCTTGAATTTGTTGTGGGCCGTTCACTTATGACGTCAAAGGTGTGTGGGGGGGGGGGGGGAGGGTCAGCACGAAAAGAGCAACAGAAATTCCCGGAAATCCATTGTTCTTTTTTGAAAATGACTGTTAATTTTGGACGTCATAAGTGAACGACCCCTTACTTATTTGATAGTTTTAAAATGTTTCAAATCAAAATAGCAAAATTCTCAAATCTAATCTTATCACAATTTTTAATTCACATTTTCTAGAATCGAAACCCACAAAATAATCGTAAAGATTATGAAAGGCGATCATGATTTTCGTGAGAAAACAAGTTCATTTCTTCAATGTTCGAATGAAATCTACTCATACAGAAACGTGATTCCATATTTCAAGAAGTTTATAACTGAAAATCCAGTAACAACATTTAATCCAGATAAGTGGGTTCCAAGAATCTATTATGCTGACCACAAGGTTTACAAAGAGTTGAATGATGATGTTGAGTGTGTGCTTGCTTTAGAAAATTTGACACCACAAGGTTTTCGCTTAGGCCCACGAATCGATTTAGATGAAAAGCATTTGTCCTTGATGGTTGAACACATTGCTTCATACCATGCTGTCTCGTATGCAATGAGAATCAAAAATGATTCAATGTTTGGAGAGCTAGCAAGTGGTTTAAATCCATTCGAGTTTCTCTCAGATGATGGGAAAGAGATGCAGTCATACAATATTCTTTATAAAATTGGACTTGAGAGAGTTTTTACTCTTGCTGAGAAGACTGAAGAGCTTCATTCAGACACTGCTCTCATGGACTCGGTTAAGAAAATTAAGGAGAAAATGTACGAACGACCTGTTGTAATCATGCAAAAGTTATTGGCAAAAGATGACACTTTCTGTGTCTTCCTGCATGGAGATTATAATCGCAATAATGTTCTGTTCGATTATGAAAAGTCAGAAGGATTTGATAGTCCATTAGAGCTGAGAATGTTTGATTATCAAGAAACTCGTGTAGCAACGCCAACAATTGATTTAGCATTTTTCATGTACATGAATAATATACCAACAATTGAAGGCATCTGGGATGAGTTATTGGAGCTTTATCATCGTACTTACATGAAATGTTTAATCGACATTCTCAAGTGTGAAGAGAATGATCCCAGATTACTGCCATACAGCTACGAAAATTTCATCAATCACTTCACAAAGCATGCATTTTACGGAGTAATGACTTGTTTCCATTTCGTACCATTCATGGCCTGTTCAAGTGAAGAGTGTGAGAGAATTTCTTATCTTTTCGAGACAGATATGAAAGGTGATGAATTTAGACAAATTCTACAGGTATGCGGTGGTAAAAGTCTTGATGATAGACTTATCAGTGCGCTCGTCCACAGCCACAAGAAAGGCTATTTGAAAATATTCGATTGATTGAGAGGAAGGAAAGAGACACACATTATTCAATTGAGTAAATAACTGTTCATGTATGAAATTTATAAATAAAATTGTTGATTACAAATTTTGAAATTAAAGGTTTAATATTTCATTAATTCACTTAGATAATATGCTGAGCATTAAGGAACAATATTAATTTAGAAGTCGTCTAGAAATGACTACCGGATTTTAGGGGTCATGCCGCAATTTTCTAAAGTTTTTAAAAAATTGCATCCTCCCACCACCTAAAACGCATAAAACGGGGACCATACTCTCCTGGCTACGCGCCTGATCGTAGGAAAAATAAGAGCTCTGAAGCTTTAACGTATAGTATTTTGATAAACGCCATTTGTCATCGACCCCCTTTATTTTACTATTGATTTTTTTGTGACCAAAGCTAATTCATTTATTTTTCGATTCATTAATATAAATTATATTTGAAACTATTCATCAGTGCCTATTTTCTATCGCTTGACATGTGGCTAAGGAAATAAATATTTGAAATAAGCAAAGTCATCTTCTAAATTAGTTGATTGAAATAACTCCCAAGAGTGAGGCAATTGAGACAACACATTGAGTCAATATCATTGAAATTGAGATGATATAAAGTAATCTAATGAATTGATGTGAATAATAATTTCCTTTGATAAAAACGAAGCTTATAAAATGTAAACAAAACAAGCGACAACAACAGCTTTTTTTGTGAAACGTGACGAGAATCATAAAATTTTTTTTAAAAACGCCATTCCGTTATCTGCTTCAAATTTAGCCAATTTTACAAAGCAATCAAGAGTATTAACTGTTTTATAAATTACGTCTGCAAAAAAAATCGATTTTAATGATGAAAAGGAACTTCAAGCATATTTATTAATGAGTCAGCAACGTAATTTGGGTCAGAATATTCGATGTTTTCTTTTTGGAGCTGTTTAAATTCAGCAATACTTTTTAAGCCGAATTAATCCAATAGTAAAAGTATTAAGAGTTCATTGACCAATCATTTGCTTATTAAGTCATGCAAAAAAACGTGTTTTAGGCCCACATGTCTATAGACCAGTGTTATGACACAAACTTTTGATGAAGGACAAAAAAATTGATTTGTTAAAATAGTCTCACAACCTAAAACTCGAATGATTTTGATGTTTTTGATCAAGTGTTTATCAGCTGCTCACATCACTGGCATATGGGTTGTGTTCTAAAACCAGACCTAAAACATTATTGATATAAAATTTAAAAAACTCATTGATCAAATGAGGGCTGGGGGTGGGGGGTCAGGATTATTCTAGGGGGGGTCCACCTAAGAACCACCTTAGGACCCCCCTGGTTACGCTCCTGAAGGGAGCTGTTCCTTATCTTGTCCTAAACCATCCACTATTGTCTAACAATAGGCTAGCTAATTAATCTTCAACTGACCAAAATTTTGCGTCTCACAAAGTCAATATGTAAAAGGGCATTAAATTGATGTTTATCAAATTTCCAAATTTTATAGATATTTTATCAGCATTGACTCTTCTGTTTAATCTGTAACTTGAATATTTGGCAAACAATTTCTTCAATTGTCAACTGAATTGTTTGAATAAGCCTTAATAGCCTCTCCTTATTGTTTATTATTAATTTAAAAAAAAATCAATACATAATTGCTCTAATCCAAAAAGCTACACAAACTTTCAGGTAATAAATATTTCAAGATAATTAAACTCTTTTCAAAAGACATTCTCAATCGACGTTATTGAGCATAGAGAAAGAAATAAAAAGACTTTATTCATTAAAATGTTTACTTTCCTATCAAGCTGTTACTTACTCTCTTTGAGACAATCCATTTGACGCTCTCAGTTTTTTTTTATTTTGTTCAGTTTCGTCTAGCATTTCAAAGTGTTCAGACCACATAAAAATTGCGGCTTTAAAATGTCAAATGAAGAAGAAAGGAAAATAAATTTCATTCAGAATAGCTTGCCGAAATTAATTCAAAGTCATAATGAAGAGTTTCGGGATCAAATAATTGTAAGCTGCGATGTAAGAGGAAATGAACAATTGGATGGATTTATGTCGTCACTTTATTTTTTGAATATGAGAATGAAGTATGCTGATGGAAGGTAAAATATTTTTGAGAAGTTAATCTGGACTTGTTTTTGATGGTTTTTGAGTGGAATTATGAAATGTGTTAAATGAGAAAAACAATGTGAGAATTGATACAAATGTTTTGCGTTTCAAAATATCATAATTGGGTTGTTAATTAGTAAACCAGCATGTAAATCGTCTTGATTACATCATTCAAGAAAAAAATACATAGAAAAATTTCACGTATGTGGTTTAATTTGTGATAAAAGTTTAGAAGTTTTGTGAACATTGTTTTGAGTAGATTTGGAAGGACTGAGTTTGTTTTGATGATTTTAAATAATTTTTTCGGATGATTTCGATTGTTCTTGTACAAAATATTGTCATAAATAAATTATTAAATTGCATAAATAATTAAAATTCAAGCATTTAAATAAGTTGATTATTTTTGACTCCCAAAACATTGTTTGCTAAAATTAATGTGATGATTAATATCAAAACATCCAGAGAATAAAAATAATTTTGGGTTTTACTTGATAAGGAATTGTTTACATCAGTGGATCTAAAATCATACCACGCGACACCATTTTATCATGTTTGAGATTAAAGTTTTGCGAACTTCGATGGTCGATGACTAAGCAAACGTTAATGATAAGCTGTCCAACTGGGCACTTTTAAGCGGGACAGTCGCGTTTTTTAAACAAAGCCCCGCTTAAATTCCTTAAAGCCCCGCTATTTTGAACATATTTTTCTTGAAAAATGGTTGAAAATTTGATCTGTCCCGCTTTTCAGAGCTGAAATCGGGTAATGTCCCACTTTTCGACAAAAAATCGACAAAAATTGATGGACAGCCTAATTTTTAACTTAAACTCTTCTTCAATCTGGACATGCACAATAGAAAAAGAAACGAGTCTAATATATAGGATTATGACTAAAAGCTTAGGTTTTACTTATTTAAGAATTAATAGCCCGAAGAACACAAATGACAAAATTTCAAACAAGGATCCAGCAAGTTAAAAAAACCTTTCATTCAAATTTCTGTTTAAAAACTGATCTTTGATGACTTTTAATTATTTTACGACGTTTTGAACCGCAAAAAATTGATAAATACGTGATTCTTTTCATGTCCACAGACAATAATTTTCGAGTTTTACAAAAATATTTAATAGGTTTGTGAATGTTTCTTTTTGATTCGCTGACAATTCAGAAATAATAAAATGGTTCGATTTCAAAAACTTTCTTGAATGCTGAACAGAAAATATAAATTCTGGTCTTTTTGAGATTTGGATTTCACAAAAGGTAGTTTATATCAAAGAATTGGTTCGTGTGTTCGTTGTGGTTTTGGGTGCTTTAACACATAGTGTGTCTCTTTTGCTAGGTTTAATAGGATACTCAAATGGCACAAGTCGGTTGATCGATCAGAAATCCGGCACCAAACTGGTATGAATCTGGCATGGTTCTGGATTCAAATCGAAATCAGCACCATGCCAGAGTCATGCCAGCTTGGCGTTGGATATCAATTCAATTAACCAATTTGTGCTATTCAGGCGATATACTAGCATCTGGATGAAATCATAACAGCATCTTGCGCGCACGAATTGTGACTAGGTATCAGGCCTTTTGGACGGACTCGTGTTTTTGCAATGTGCCGATCTTGCAAGTGGTTTAGATTCCACTATAAACTGTAGGTCTAAAGGGGTTACTACAGAGTACTACAGATTTACAATTGCCTTCAGTTCAAAAAGCTAAGCCCCTCATTCATTATAGATACCCTAGAATCTAACCGAGGGATTAGGTATCGAACAACTCTTAATGATGTTGAGCCAAGGAAGCATCCAGCAAGCGTATTGTTAAAAACCTCTATAAAAAATGTCCTTAATTCATTTGAGTTATTTTAAAGGTCAAAAACCCCGATGTCGAACAATTTGAGTGTCATTCAGATTCATAAGGACAATAAAAGTGAAATTAATAATCGCAGCCTTAATTCTGCACTTCAGAGTTAAGTTTTTGTTTACAAACAATTCATATTAATTATAAATCATTATTCAATAACTTCTGACTTGCAATATTTATCACTTCAATCCTACGTGCATTTGTACACTTTGCAGTAACCCATATTAATGCATATATTCAGCATAATATTCACAAAACAACATAAAATTCACACTTTTTAAATAAAATAAATTTATTCCGAGAGAATCACAAGCTCTCATCATTGTTTTTATCAGACAATCAAGGTTAATAATTTCAAAATCATCATGATAAGAAATTTTGATTACATTAAGTGAATTGTTTATCTCAACGCCTCAAAATCAAGTTCATCAGACATTTTATGTTGCAACTTTCAATTTGATTCTCATGACATTTTTCACATAAATATTCCAATTATTATATTTTCATAATGTTGACACTCTCATTGAGACTTCTTATCAGCCTTATTAACTTGATTGTGTCGCAATCTTTTGTCTGAAATAATAATAATAAATATTCTTCTTCCTCTTAAAGTGGCACAAAGGTTTACAAGATGATCGTTAAAATAATGAAAGGTGATGAGAATTTTCGTAATGAGACAAATGCAGCTGCTTTATGCCTGAATGAGCTTCACATATACCGAGATGTTATTCCATATTTTCAAAAGTTTCTTGTAGACATAAACATCAAAGCTTTTGATCCACACCAATGGGTACCGAAAGTTTATTTTGCGGATGCTAAAATCATCGAGGAACTTGGTGACAATGAGGAAACAATTTTAGTGATGGAAAATTTGACACCGAAGCATTTTCGTATGGGTCCACGTGTTGATCTTGATGAGCCTCATTTAGAACTTATGGCGAAGCTAATTGCTTCATATCATGCTGTATCATATGCTATGAGAATCAATCAAGATCCAATGTTGGAAAAACTTGTGAAAGGATTAATTCCATACTCATTTTTCGCATCTGATGGCAGCGTTCTTGATGCTCAACAGACATTTTACAAAACTGGACTAAAGAGAGTCTTCAATTGTGTCATTAAGGACGAAAAACTTCATGCAAACAAAAAATTCATTCAAGATGTAAAAAATTTAAAAAAAGTTGCATTTGAGCATCCATTGAAATTTATGGAAAGCTTCTTAGCCAAGGATGAAGTATTTTCGATAATTCTTCATGGTGATTACAACCGCAATAATGTCTTATTTCATTATATGGAACCAGATGGCTATGATGAGCCAACAGACATAAGAATGATTGATTTCCAAGAAGTAAGGTATGGCACACCAGCAATTGATATTGCATTCTTCATGTACATGAACATGCCTGGAGCACTACGTGAAGAGTATTGGGACAAATTACTTAAAATTTACCATAAAACTCTCACCAAATGTCTGAGAGAAATTCTCAACTGCTACAAAGATGATCCTCGCCTCAAACCTTACGATTATGACAACTTCATTGCTCATTTTAACGAAAATGCTCTCTATGGAGCTGTTGTTGCCATGGTTTTTATTCCAATGATGGCATGTCCAGAGGACGAATGTGCAAGATTAACAGAACTTTATGACAATGACTTTTTAAGTAAGGAACTTGAAGAATTAACGCTAAGTTGCGGTGGCAGAAATGTTGATAATAGAATTATTGAAATTTTACAGCATGCCAGTAAGAAAGGATATTTAGACATTTTAAAGTAATTATGTATTTATATGTAGAATGTTTTCGAGAATGTTTTGCATAGCAAATTCTCGGATTAGTTTCTGTTGCCTTAGGATAATTTGTAAGGCTAACCCAAGGTTAACCACAATTTAAATGTACATTTTTAATAAAATTTGATACTGTTAATAAAAGATTTGAATAGATATAAAATTCAGTTGTTAAGCATTTTCTATTTTGTTAATGTTTCAGAGAAGCATTGTGTGCATCCTTTAAATATAACGACACTCATTAAGAAGGTTGATTTCTAGTAGGAATCGAACTAAAGCTTCATATAGGTGAGGGTAACTTATATCTGGTCTATTGGCTTACCACTCGGACACTGAGTCACTTTACTCTCGTTTTAACAGATTCACCTACTTGTGGCTCTAAACCAGTGATGCGCAACCTTTTATGTGCCACGGCACACCTTGGAAGTTCGAAGGATTTATCGCATTCCAATACGGCATAGGTTTTGTTGGATTTATCGATTTTTTGACACTAGTGTGCCGTAGTTTATGGGCTGGTTATCACTGCTCTGTTCCCCAGAATCTACTGCGCTGTTCAAATACCTTACAAACTTTAGCAGTATTATCAGATTTAAGTTTTCATACATTCAGAACCATGCAAATGTTTTCACATTGCTGTTTTGATGTTTATTCAACGTTTTGTGATGTTTAATGCAGAACAATGTTTTAGTAAGCATGAACGTTATTTGAAAAACTAATATTTTGATCACTTAAATGTATCTTCTGGGGATATTCTGGTGTCATTGAAATTTGATAGAATTTTGCAATATTGAGGATTTTGATGCCTATTTATGAGACTTGTAGCAACTCGATCTTATGTAAATTTTACACAATCTATTATTGGGTGCTATCAAAGATCAGAACTTGAGTTTCCAGATCATAATCAGCCATCAAGAGTGTCTAAGCATTGATACAATTACTTATTCGTTAGAAACTATTCCTGGAATCAATTCAATTTGCAATGTCGAGGAGGATACTCATTTATATGTTAAAAATTTGTGAGCTGAAGTGGCTCGGTGGCGGAATGGTTTAGTACTTCGGTACCTAATTATTGCAATACCGACACAGCGATCATGGGTTCGAGACTGGGTATGGGAAATTTTTCACTTGTTCTTTTTCGAATCATATGTACTGGAAATGAGGCTCACAGCCTTCCTTTGTAGGCTACAGACAGAAATGTCATCAAAGGAGTGGTTCGGATCCCACTATAAATTGTAGGTCTAGGTTTGAGTGCAGTGGTTTGGCGCATCCTCACTCGTTAAACTCTCATTAGCTGCGAATCGCCCTAGCGCACCTCTGGATCACAATTGATCTGAATAGGTAAAGGTTTTTTTTTTTTTATGTTAAAAATAAATTTATTTTAAAGCACAATAAAGCTTTTCGAAATCATATAAATATGTACATGACTTCATACATATATTAATACATCATTCGACGGAAAATTCACATCCGATCCGATTAAATAAATTCGATTTAAATTTAATTTAATATTGTTGTTACTGCATTTTTTTATTATTTTATAATATAACAATCCTGATTGTGTATACTTATAAAATTACATACATTCAATTAAGCAACATTTAAATCCATTGACTTAATTGAGCGTGCAATGTGATTTATCATTAAACAATTTTTTTTTCTCATCTTTATCGTTGTTTTACTTTCATTATTTATGATTAATAATTTATTTTATTTTAATGAACTTGAATATTATTAATTTTTTTTTTCGTACTATTTATTGAGCCTGATTTTATTTTAATATGACTAGTTTTACCATCAGCAATAATCATAAAATATTTATTTTTTTTGAATTGTACAATATTTGATATAGCAATAAAGCATTACTCAACCCGCAATCGATTAACATTTATTGACGCTTAATCGATATAATTATTTATGTAATCAGCAAGAGCTGACATTTATCAAATTATTCCCATCTCGGTCAATTATTAAACAATTCATTCAATCGAAAATAAAATAATTTTTTTGAATAAATTTGCATTGTAAAATGAAATTTGCATTTATGTAGTTCAAGTTTGTTTTGTCATGTTATTTGGGGATATTAAATAAATTTAAAGATAATTATTGAATACTGATTGTTTGGTCTTAGTGGTTGTCTTATGATTAATGCATGTTGGTAAAATGATAATTAGTTGTATTGATTTTGCCTGAGTATCTGATAATAACCAAAATTGATGCTGTCTGTTTGTATATGCTTATTTAAGAAAACTCATACTAAGGATTAATTAAATTAGAAATACTATTTTTAATCAATCCTTAAGAATGGGATACAGTTTAGTTGAAAGCTGAAATCATCTTGAGAGGCTACTCAAGACTGAACTATCAAGCATCAATTCTATTAGTAAAGAATCTAATTGAATCTATTGTTGATTTTGTAGGTTGAACCATTCTTTAATGAAAAAAAGATAAAGCATGGAGAGGGAACAGCCTTTTGAGCTGGAGGCACAGTTTATAGTAGAATCCAAACCACTTGCAAGCACTGCACATTGCAAAGACACGAGTACGTCTAAAGACTTGAAGTACCATGCAGTAAACCTAGTCACAATTCGTGTGCTTAAGATACAGTAATGAAATAATCCAGATGCTAGTTTATTTTAGTATACCTACTAAAGGAGACACGTTATGTGCCGAAGACCTCAAAACTACAAACAAACACACAAACCGAGCTTCGTAACTAATATGTCGAAATGGAAAAAGAGCTTTTAAAACTTGACTTGGCCTGGGATTAAACCCAAAACCGGCCAAAACCTTTGCACGTAAGGCCAACGCTCTATCATTTAGGCCACTGATGCCATTTCACCGCTATATGCTTTAATGAAATGCACTGTAAATATTTTAATGGAATTTTGTAAAACATAAATTAAATCGATTCATGGTTCGATTCTAAGCATTGTCTAGTTGAATTAGACCAAATTTTCATTTTTCTAGGACAACAAGCTAATCTTTAGCGACACTTTATTTAATACTTCACATTTAAAATGATCTTTGAAATATTAGCTTCCATAACTCATATATTGTCCCACAAAAAAGTAATTTCAGTTTGGATAACATTACGATGCAAAAATCATTTCAAAGAATTAATCCAAAGCTAAGATATTTAAAATCGTTAACAAAAGGCAAAAAAAAGCTCTTAAAATATTAATGCTTATAAAGCATTTCAACCTTGACATTTGCATACAAAAATATTTACACGAGCAATAAGAAAGCATTCATATTTAATAACGATGACACATAAAAACGCAAAAAGGTTCACAAGAAGCGGGTTTCACTAGAAATAAATGTAAACATCATCATAAACACATTGCTGACAAAGAAAAGCGAGAAAATGAAAGAAACATGCCGAAAAATGAGATTTTCTGTCACAATTTCCACGACAAAATAGGCATTGTGAGTACGAATGACGAGAAAAAGAGGAACAAAATTTCATTTTTTTTGAGACACATCGTAAAGAGAAGTGAGCTGAACACAAAGGAAGGAAACGTGAAATAGATTGAATTTTTTTCAGTTGAGCCAAAAGAAAAATATTTTTTCATCTCTCTTTCTCTCGAAGAACCTTGTACATTTCTTGCTCGATTGGAAAAATATTTACACTCATGAAAGCATCAAGACTTTAGGGATTTTTTGGGAAATTTTATCGGTTATTTGGGATTACTAGTAAGTTGTGTTGAAATATTCATGTTAAATTGTTTTTTTTGATACAAAGTTTCTGAACCCCCGCACCAACCCCACCCCCCCCAAATAAATGGCTGAATAAATTATTAGTACGGTCTGATTTATTTCAGAATATTATTATAATTTGTAAATTTGTAATTTGGCAGGGGCGTAGTGAGGAATTTTAGGGGGGGGGAGGTCATTTTTTTGTATGAAATAATTAAGATGGTTTAAAAAAAATATACAAATTCTAGCGAAATGAAGAAATTTTCGCTAAAGTAGGGGATTTGTCACCTAAATACCCCCTCTTGGCTACGCACCTTGGAATTTTGAAGACTCATTTTTCTAAAGACTTAATGTGAGCTCTGTTTACATTCCCAAGCTGATTAATAAAACTGATTTGTATTCAAACCATTGGACAACTCACCCATTTTATGCAAGGCTCAATGAAATGTTCCTCTCTGCTTTAAGACACGACTTACAAGGATCTGCTTCTTATAAGTTTCCACACTCCAACCGATCAAAGCTATCGCTACTCATCACACACTTTGACACGTAACATTTTTTTTCCGCCCTTATTCTTTCTCAATTTTAAATGTAAATACTCATTCGTACCCACAAGGTGTATGTTGTTTTTTTGCGTGAAATGTAAAATAAACGAAAAGGGTTAACCTTTTGTCATCAGAATGTCACACATCTTTAAAAGAAAATTTTCTCCTTATTATTCTTTCAGATTCTCTTTCGTTTTTTATTGTTTTACTTTTCACCTTTTTTTCTGGTTATTTTTTTTTTGAAGACTGTTTTGATGGAGGATTTGATGAGTCTGTGTTTGTTTTGGTCGGTTCAAAGGATTTCGATTAAAGGGTTGTATAAGAATTTTTTGAAGTTTAAGGGGACTCAATTTGATTGATTAGTCTCAGTGGCGTAGTCAGAGGTAGAAGATGAGTGGTGAAAATCCATTCCTAGTGCTCTAGTATCTTTAAAGTTTGGTTCTTAATCCAAAAAGTGTTTAAAGTTGCCATTAGTTTTGAATAACCCTAACAGACAAAGAGCATGCTCGCAATGAGTATGCTCACTTAAATGTACTGACTGAGTTAACTCGTGAGCATACTCAGCTAATATATTTTAGTGAGCATACTCATTGAGAGCATGCTCTTTGTCTGTTAGGGTAAATCAATTAATTCCGTACGAAGTCGAGCTAACCCATATTTCTTTGAAACACACTTAATCAAATAAGGTAGTTCCATAATAGAACATCCTTTGATATTTCCAGCAGAAGATTCCATTGCTTTTGATATTTCTGGTTACCTGAACAACAAAATTGGTCAAAAGATTGCGGAAATTAAAGCAATAATTTATCGATAATCCAATTGATTGTTATTTTGCCTTAAAAACTTATGGAGACAAATACACGGAAGCTTAATCAGAGGAAGGAGAAAAAGCAATTTCAATCATTACTAACATGTAATTTCGATAAAAGGCAAGTACATGAAAACAGCAGAAAGAAAATAAGCAACGAGAAACTTTAACATTATTTTTTATTTCTCTTCCAAAAACATTTTCTTGTTTGTTTGCTTCTGTTGCTTCCGCCCTCATTGATTCCACGTCTCACTCTCTCAACGCTGCTCTCTTTGTAGAATTTTCATTTCCTTTTTTGTCAGTCAAGTCAAGATTTTAAAAAGTTTTCTGCTGCACTTCCATCATGTCTAATGCTTAGAAGAAGGTGCAATTAAATTTATTTCCATTCATGCTTGATTGATTTCTTATTGCTCTCAAAACTGACATATATAGTGTGTGCTTTGGAATGGACTTTGCTGTACAAGAGGAATTTAATTTTTAAGTGCATTGTACAATCACATTTGAAGTTTTCATTCTTCTTCCATCTACGTATAAATCTTATTCTTATTTTTAAACTTTTTTGCACTTTTTTGCCTTGATGTCAGTAAACAAAAGGAAGTTAGGTTTGATATAAGAATCAGAAGAATGGATAAGGCGCATTTTTTACCGTTGTTTGGTTTAAGATTTCAATTGAAAAAAACTTATGCCAATTAACAGACAATGAAAGGCGACAGACAATGCCTGTTGATTGGTTTAATCGAAGTGCATGCAGTTCAAAAGGCTAGGCTTTTCCCTTAATTAATGTTCACCTACTCTTACAATCAGGTAAACTGTAAAGTTTACTCAAGCTTTAACCTCTCGAAGACCTCCTTAAAATGGCTCCTCACAAGCTCAAACCTGAATAATTTCATAAAAAACATCACGAAAAAAGCAATTCTGCTAGAAAACAATGCTCGAGAAATGCTTCTCATGACTACATCTGCTCTATATTCTCTTCCATGCTCGTAATATCCTTAGGCAAAAGAAAACAGCAATTAAATGGATTGCTTACAATTACAGTTCTTTTGTTTCAGCATTATTGCATTCAATTTACAGACCAATTGCTCATCTCTCATCCTTTCCATTTTTTGATTCTTTAAATTGATTTTAGTTAATGAAAAGGCTGCAGTGTTTGTTCTTTATTGGTTTTCTTATTATGCTCTTTGTTGCTTTTTGTTGTTATGTAACTGAGAATGAGTAAATGGAAATCATGTGATTTAATTGGAATTAAATTGATGGGAATTGCTTTAAAATTTGGAAGGGAGTTAAAGCTACAATTTGAATTTCATGAATAGCTCCGGTGTATCAGAGCTACTTAATACTATCTCAGTTCAGTCACAGGGAATGGCTCAATAGATTCTTTCATCGATGAAGATAGCAGTGCTTCCAGATTGTCGCACCTTGTAGAAACACATCGCTTGTCTGGAATCCTCTCATATTCTTATTATTATTATAAGACGAATAATTTCAAGGTTCCTTAAAGTCATTGAACTTTAATTTTTGGTGAGTAATCGCATGCATCTTCATTTTAATCTCTCATTATTTTATTCTCACTCAAGAAATTTCTTTCCTTATCAATCATCTCTTCATTCTGAATCTTTAATGTGCTCTCATTTTTATATAGATCATTTTAAGCTTGACTTTAATCGAGTCTACAAGTTTTTTTAAATTTGAATTAAAATGCTGGAAAAAGTTCATCTTTTATTAATTTTGTCCATTTCTGGAGCTCTAGGTAAGAATTTTTACAATATTTTGTTTTTTGACATTCTTTTAAGGGCTTTATTGCTTTTATGAATGTTTTTAAGGAAATTGGGGTCTGAGATTTAATGACAACTCATCAAAAATAAATTTTTTCCACTTAGCATTTGTGATCAATAGGGGAGGAGGCTATAAAAATTCAGTTTTTTTGCGTTGAGTAATAAGTAAAGGACTCTTATTGTCTTCCAACTAGAGCTCAAAGTCGAATCGAGTCGGATTTTTTCGAACATATGGGAAATTTTTCCGAAAAAACAGGACATAGAGTAAAATTCGAAAATTAATGAAAATATTCATGAAAAAAAAAACAGGACCAAGAACAAAATTTAAAAATTTATACAGGACTGTTTGTTGAAAAACTACGCAGATGGTCACCTTAACTCGAACCAGGGGCGTAGCCAGGGGGGGGGCATAGGGGGCCCGGGCTCCCCCTACGAAAATCTGATAATTGTTTTATTAAGTATTTATAGAGAAGAACCAGTTAATGTAGAGGAAGTGATGAAAGAAATGTCAAAATCAGCACGAAAAATTAAATTTAATGTATGAATAATGAATTAAATATTTAAACTTATGAAGAATGAATATAGATTTAAGGATACAAAATAACGGTTTTTTAATTTTCCAAAATGGGCCCCCCTTCAAAATTTTTCTGGCTACGCCCCTGACTCGAACCCTATCGACTTCGAGCTCTGCTTCCAACACTTAAATTTATTTGTAAACAGACTCAACTATGATTATTTCAATGAAATTAAGCATTAATTTTAATTTAACTTAACCAATTCTCAAATGTAGTATCTAAAGTTAATGCAACATTAATGTCGGTTTTTAGGGCTACCGGAGGCACCTTACTAAAGTTTCATATAAATTATATTCAAATCCCATACATATTTAAGTATAACGATATTCATTTATGCCCTAGGGTGCCCTTGGAAGACTTATAAACTGACAAGAGATCATCAAAAATTACTCATAATTAAAAAATTCAGATTCAAGTTTCACTTATTGTATTAAAAATAATTCCTTTTCAGCAAACACTCCAATAGTTCCAGACATCAATGAAATAAGAGATTCAATCAAACCATACCTGCCAGAGGGTATCTCCTTACCAGAAATGAATTCAACGCAGATTGAGGAAGGACTACAGAAATTAACTGATGCCTTAAAGCAGAAATGTTTGGAAGCTTCTGGAAGTGACACTGCTTATGATGATGCTTCGGTAAAATATATTATTTATTGTAAAATTATTCAAATAATAATTTTCTTTTATTTTTGTTTAGGCTGCAGCATCAACATTCTCTGAGTGTATCCAAAATCTTTTAGATTTCAGCAATATTGAGGAGGAAATTGAAAAAGCGAAGCCAACTGGTGATTTGGATATTGTTTTTGGAAAATATTGCATCAAAAAGATTCCATCACTTGACTGTCTTGAAACATTCGCAAATGCTACAAGTCCATGCCTTAATGCAGAAGAAAAAGCTTTTAAGAATGTTTTCATTAAAATGGCAAAAAGAATTTTGGACTTTGTCTGTCATAACAATGGAAATCAAATTGCACTTTTTATAGCTGAAAGTGGACCGGAATGCTTTAGATCTAAAGCAAATAATTTAGTGACGTGCTTTAATAAAACTTTCGACAAATACAATCTTATGTCCTTTGAAACACCTCCGACATTCAAAATATCTCAAGAAAATTGTGGAGACATAAAAAAATTTGAAAATTGTGTTGTTTCGGAATTGGAGAAATGTCGAGAAAGTACGTCAGCTAACTTGGCTGAAGCAATGTTTAGATATGTCAAGAAAGAAACTGTTTGTAAAAATTTTTAATTGTGATTAAAAACAGAAAATAAAGTTTCGTGATAATGAGTTCATTGCAAATATTTTTTATAGAGCAATATTTAATTAGTTCTGTACTTTTAAGTTTCATTATCAAGCAAAATAAACATCCTTATCAGCAAAATGTTAGCTAAGGTTAGGCAAACTGAGTTTGTAAGGAAATCAAATGCACATGATTTCTTAACTTTCTTAGCATTCGAGATGAGTTTTTTGAAATATTTTTTGTGTTCAAGGTTTAGACTCTAAAGCTGCTAATTATAACGCTGAACATTTGATTTTATTAAAAAGGTAGTTAAGATTAGCTATACTTTACAGATCAATTGTGATCCATTGCCTCCAGACTAGCTTTATCAATACGAAATAATTAAAGACACATGTAAGGCCACAAAATAATTAGAGTCTGTGATATGGAATATACTTATCAGAAACCCTGAAAAATGCAAAGGGACGTTCACTTATACGTCACACTTTTAAGTGGTGGGGGGGGCTTTTAGATATTGTTGCAGTTCAAACAAAATAATTTTTTCCATACAAATTTTTTTTTCAAGGGAGGGGGGGAGAAGGGGGTCTAAAAAGTCGTTTTGTATCGTAACGTCCCAAGTGGTGGTCAACCTTTTTTGAGTCACGATAAACTTCGACTCAAGAATATATTTTGCTGCATAGAACTAATAGTTAGAGTTTCGGATGCTGTGGTTGAGCATATTCAGTAATGATCTGAGCTAGTGTGACGCGACACGCAGGTTAGCCATCACTGTCACTTTGAAGATCTTCAATCACATTTTTGAACTTTCATGTCGAATAAATTATTATTATTATTATTATTATTTATTTATTACTCGCAAGGAAAAGCCATGTGAAAAGTATTTAAACTATTTCAAATGGCATAAAAACCTTACTTAACCTTTTCATAAAAAAATGTTTCATTAATGATAATAATCTCTCAATTACTCTTTTCCATAATGCAAAATACCAATTATATCAAAAATTCACACACAAAGACACCAAAAGGCACAAAAATCGTCATCATCAAACGACGAGAAGCAATTAAAATAAAAACATGGAGTTAACATGTTAATACAAAATCATTCTTATCAGTTACAACGATAATCTCATCTCGTTCTCCACCTTCTTTCGCCTGCTTAACACCTTTACGTGTACGACACTTTTCGGTACCGTTGTCATTGCTTGTTGTTATGATTGTTTGGTGCAAAAAAAAAATTTTTTGTACACAATAAAAATGAGATTACAAAAATTTCAAATAGATTATAAGGATTTACATGAGCATAAAAGAGTCATGTTGTTGAACTATCATTGACATTCCTTCCGTTCTCATCCTTTGACTTGCATTATTTACACAACATCTGGTACTCGACTCACATGCAAACATTTTCAGATCTATCTTCATATTGTTGAATAGATATAATGAAACTTTCTCGCATAAGCAACTCAATTTTCCAATGTACGCGCATTTGAATTTTCTACTCTGCTCTTTATAAATATGCTATGCGATGCTTTGGGGTGTGTTTTGATGTACTTAATACTCCGTTTGTTGAACGACGGAGAAAAACAGTGAAAAGGTGGAAAATGGAAAATTATAGAGCTACGATGACATTAAATAGCTTTTCATCTTCTTCTAGACTATTGCTCCTGTAAATGACAAAGAATGTCTTCATGTTGTTTATGGTGATATTGTGTTGATTTAGATGAGAACATGAGAAAACAAGAATATTAAAGTAGTTGAGATGAATAATAACTAGATAATAGCAAAATACAGTTAAATGGATTGAACATTTTTCTAAAAAATTGATTTTGGAATTGGAATTTTGTTCTTTTATCATAACTTATCATACACAAGTCGGTTAATCGAATAGAAATCTGGTGTCTAGTCATCATGACTCTGGCATGATGCTGGCTTCGATTAATTTTCAGCACCATGCCAGATTCAAACTAGCTTGATCGATTAACCGACTTGTGCTATTCGAGATAACTTAAGTCTTAGAATCATTCTTTAATAAGGTTTTGTAATATGAATGAAGAAACAAACATTCATATAGTTTGTAAATGAAGGTCATTCCGAGGACAACATGTCAAGCATTTTGATGAGGATCATTTGAATGATGAGGATATAAATAATCAGCATTATCAGGATATTATTGGCTTTATTAAGTACATTGGAATTCTGGCATAGGGGACTTTGGATGGTACAACAGATCATCGATCGCAGTGCCGCTTTTGCTATCAGCAAAATCCTACATTACATTCTATTCTAGAATCATTCCGACAAGCTAGTTTCAAAATCTAAACCAGCTTTATACTTGGAGGGAAGGTCAGGTCTTGCTGAAGCTTTTGAGCATTGGGGAGGAAGCATGTAGCGGTGAAATGGCATCAGTAGCCTAAGCGGTAGATCTAAAGGTTGTATGTTCAATTCCAGCCCTAGTCAAGTTTCTAAAGCTCATTTTCCATGTTCACTGTTCTAGTTACCAAGCTCTGTTCATGTGTTGGGTGTAGATTTGAGGTTTTCGGTACATAACGTGTCTCCTTTACTAGGTATACTATGATATACTAGCATCTGGATGATTTCATTACAGCATCTTGCGCACACGAATTGTGACTAGCTACATTGCAAGGTACATCAGTTCTTTTGATGTCCTCGTGTCTTTGCAATGTGCTGAGCTTATAAGTGGTTTGGATTCCTCTAAAAACTGTAGGTCTCAAGGGTGTGGAACAAAAGATTCTGTTCTAATTTGAGTCGCAGTGCCTCCAGCTCAAAAAGCTGGGCCCTTTTCATGCTTTTTAGTAAGAAGTAGGAGTGATGTAACGTTTGTTTGAATACTCTTAAAGCCACTTAGTCGAACCGTAGATATATCTTGATCATCGATAGAACAGTCATAAATTTTTCTGTTTGATTAAAAAATTGCAAGTCATCCATAGTCGCTGTTTGAATTAGATGGTCTTTGGACAACCTTTAATGCTGTCAACTTACTATTTATAACATCACCAATAATATTGCATCTGTATATTTATTTACCAAACTTCACTACTTCCTTAATCTATTTATATCTCTAAAATTAATTCAGATGCAGTTTTGTTCATTCTTATAGATAACAAGATATATGAAACCTCATCTCAAGAAATTGGAAAAAAATATGTATTTTCTATCCTGAAAGTGTAATATGATTACCGACAGGATTACCGTATATTGAGTACCTTTTATGTCACTTAGTTTACTCTAGCAAAGGAATTGTGTAGTGTTGGGATTTTATTTCAACCTTGACATTATGAAAATTATTTCTCGTTCACGATACTCCTCGTGCTCTTTATCTATTTGTGATAAAATATGTACATATGATACCTCGAAGCATGATGTTGCTGCTTAATGAAGGTAGATCTGAACTGTCAAGACAGTAAATTTGAAAAAAAAAAAATACATTTTAAATGTTCAGTATCGTGTAAAATCATCAAATGCAGCAATGCTTTCTTCCTTTTCATGAGTTTCCGTGTGGTTGAAAGTTTTCTTCTTATTTTGTAAATTTTTTTACATCCATTATGAATGAGCATTAAGTTCCTATGGAAGCAAGAGGCAACAATTTATGCTCATTTACCAGACTCACGACCTTGAACAGCTGCTGGCTTCTGCTGTTGTTTTTTTCATCGTTTTTCAATACCTTGTTTTATTTGAGATTTTTGTTGTGCTGCTTCGTGTTTGCCTAAGAATTAGAAGCAACGAACACAAATTATTAGTAAAATACATTCAAACAAATTGTTGAAAATCGTAAATGACATGTTAACCGAATGTTCTTTTGTTGCTGTATATCGAATTGTAAACATTTAAAATATTTCTATTTTATCAGTGTGTAAAACGAAATGAAGAATGCTTGATGTGCACACTTAAAAAAGCGTCCAGTGGCGTAGATTTGTATTTGTTGTTTTTAGTATTATTTATTGTTCCAGGCTTAGTCAAGATATTTGTAAGTTAAGTCCGGAAATCAAGAGATCCTTTTTTAAACTTAAATATGGACTTTATGAGATAGAATGGTTAGAGACCATATCCATCAAAAGTAAGCTATGAGCTATGAGCTATGAGTAAAGCTTGGTTAATAGATTTAAATGTTAAAAGTAATGGAAACTTAGTAAGACTTGGTTAAAATCTCGTCAAAATATTTTTTTAACGGGGGGGGGGGGGGGTGTTTACTCAAAATTTTGAAATATGTGAAGCTATGATATGCCAAGAGACGATGTCAACGTTGATTCGAAATAAGTTTAAACTTGTTTCGAATGTATTTCGAACAAAATTTCGCAATTTCGAAAATAATATTTTTTATGAAAATTTTAACTTTTCGCAATTTTTGACTCAATTCACTTATTATTTAAGAATTGAATCCTTCAACTATGTCTTTTAACACTCATATAATCGTTTAATCGATGATAAATGCAGCAAACATTAGTTTAATATGATTGTTTTCAAAAATATTCTAAATTTTTTGTTGTTGTTTACATTGAAAATTAAAATGTCATTAATTCACTTGCATTAATTATTTAATAAATAGGTAATGATTCATTACAGTTGAGTGGATTTATTTAGCATTTTGATGATGAAAAACAAATATTTACACCATTAATTAAAGAGATTAGACATTATTAATTTAACGTGTAAAAAAAATTTGAACTAATGCTCGAAAATAAGGTACCAAAAAAAATTCAATATCGAAAATAAGGACTCGTTGGCGTACCATAGATGTGAAGTAACGGTCTCTTCGCTATTATATTTCTTGCTTGATTTCCGAACTATCGAACTGAGTCTAAATTCGACCTTTTTCACCACTTTTATATCATCATTCGAGCGACATGTTAGTCCTGACAATTGTAAGAAATAATATTAATTAAATTCACATTTATATTCATATAAAATCGCCTATATAGTTTCACATACATCAAATAAATACATTTTACAAGTTTATTTGCGATTATTATTTCTTCGCGTGAAACAATCGATATAATCATTGTCGATTGACGATCTTTCACAGAGGTACATAATCCATGTTTGTCTAGGTTGGAATAGAAATTTTTCAAAAATATAATAGTTTGTTTTGTTCTAATTTATCCAGAAAACGAATAAAATTGGTAGACACCCGTAGACACGTGGGACATCCTCTATTTTACTTTCAGATCCTCTTTTTTTAAAAAAAAATATCTGGTCACTTTATGCAAAGTTTCCCATTAAAAACTTTCAGGTAATTTTCAATGCATCAAGTCATGTTATTAAAAATTCGCAAAACTTTACTACAATCGTGAGTCTGTAAGTTTCATTCTTTAATTGTGTTTGTCAATTGATTGATAAAGTGCAAGCTATAAATTCATTATCATTGCATACATTTATAAAAATACTTTAGTCAAGCACATCACTCATCTACGCCACTGTATAATCAACTGATTTTATAATATCTATATAAGCTTAAAAGAGAGACAAGTAGAAAAACTAGAAAATTAAAAGAAATACAAAATAAAATCGTGCAGAATAAACAATAATTTACTTCTCATTTTCAGTTTTTGTTTAGTCGTCAAGTTGTGAAGAATATATAAAAAAAAGAACAGAAAAGAGTTAAAAAAGAATTGATAAAATTGGATCCCATTGGATCTAATCAGTATTTGTACAAAAACTGTAGGCATAGAGAAAATTGATAAGCGCAAAGAGCGAGAAATTTAATTTATCAGCGAGTTTATGGATGAGAAGTAAATTAAAAAAAAAATAATAATTTGCCATCAGCTGCGATTTCATGCGAGTGTTTATTGCGTAATCGAAAATCACACACACAGACAGATTCGTTTATAGAAAAAGAGCAGCAAAAATTTGAGAACTGAAATTAAAATCTGTTCATTCTTCCGTTAAGTGAATAAAATAGTTTTAGGACACTCTAAATTTAGAATCGTAGTGACATTAAGTGTATGGGACAGCTGTGAAAATAGCGAGCAGTGATAAAAATTCATTATCAAGCAATATTCATTTTTTGACTCTAATTTACGTGTGGCTGTGAAGTATTTTTGACTTTATTCTATTTTGTTTGCTGTCCAATTAATGGAGATCACAAACTATATTGCCGGAAAATTGGTGCCCGAATTGTTGAGGCAAAAAATTATATATATTGATGGTGCCGATGATACAGAATTCATAAATATTGATTCCGTTGATGTGAAAGAATTGAATGAAGCTTTTGCTTTAACAAAACCTTATGCTGTCGATGTCAAATTGAGCCGGTATGCTGAGCGTGACGTAAAACATGAATTTCATCTAGTTGTGAAGGTCAGTTATATTTTTTTTTGTAGTCGATGTGGTTGTTGTTGTGAGCATTTTATTCATATCCACAGCAAAACACGGAATGAGAAATGATAAGCACAGATGATTGCGATCTCACATTTTTTCATCTCTTGCTTTATATATTTTTTATTTTATTCTACCTTTCATACCTTTTATTATTGTTATTTTTATTATTAAAAGAGGATATTGAGAGATGGGCAATGCGAAAAGAAAAACAAAATTGAGCTAGGAAAAAATAAAATAAGAATTTTGATAGATTTTTAAGGAATTTTATAAACTTCCTGACTGCGCTTTATTACTAGCCTCAACCAAAGAAAATCGGAAATTTTTGAGGTACTGGTGATTAGAATTAAATTAAGTATCGATTTTTCCGTTGAGTTGAGTTCCTTGATCGTATCTTTGCAATTTGCAGACTTTGCAATTTACTCGAATTCCACTATAAAATGTAGGCTTAAAGGATGTGGACAACAGATTCTGCCCAAACTGAATCATAGTGCCTCCAGCTCAAAAGACGGGGCCCTTGCCTAGACTTATTTTTTAATTTTGAACCTTGATTCCATAAAATGCTTTTGATAACACTTTAGTGCAGTGGTTCTACAACTTTGTGCCGCGAAACTATTTGAGTGTGCTGCGAATATTTTTATGTAAAAAATGTGCCGTGGACCAAAAAAGTTTGAGAAACGCTGTATTTTTGCCACAGCCAACTTAATTTATATCCTCAATTGTAGGCTTCTAGTTCACTTGGCTTAAAACCAACCCCCTTATCTACACCAAATCATTTAATGACAGTTCTTTCAAGAAAAAAAAATGTTTTTTGTTGCACTTAAAAGAATATCAAGAAATTTTTGTGGTCTTGTACCTCCTTAAACGTTTTGAAACGCAGCGAGAGCACGGTCTAAAACGCTTAAAAGGGGGACAATACCCTCCTGGCTACGCGCCTGATCTGTAGATTTGAGATTGTCAGTCAAAATTTCTTGCAACCCCCTTTTAAAAAATTCCCATATCATTCAATAAAGTCTTATTGAATTTTATTAGCACTTGTTCAAACTCCTCAAATATAAGTAATTCCAGATTCTCATTTAAATGCATGGATGACATGCGATGCCTGAAACACAACCATAAAATTTTATCCTAAAACTTGCCCAACATTCCCAAGTACATATTTCGATCCATATTCGCATGAACATTGTATGCTTGCTCACTATATGGCAGTAAAATAATAAATCAAAAATTCCTTCGAGGATATCATGTTGTACGGCGGGTAGGTTGGTTGGTGGTTGAAAAGCCTCATAAAAAAAGGAGAGAGTTTGAGATCAAGAGTGGAAAAATGTACTTTTATTTCGAAAGGAATTTATTACTTCACCTTAAAGTTATTGAAAATAAAATAAATCTTAGATATATTTTATATAAATTTTATTCCTGCTGTAAATTTGTATTTTATTTCATTTCAATGAAAATAAGAGAACTGAGTAAGAAGAGAGTTCAGTTTGTGTTTTATTTACACGACCTTGAAAATGCGAATGTGAAAATTGAGAGGAGGAAAAAAGCTCTGAATTTTCTCATCATTCGTTTCCTTCTTCTTGCATTAAGCAACAAAGTTTGAAAAATTTGTTATTTCTATTTTTGAGTTTGCTTTTATTTCATTCATTTACGCAATGATTTGTTTATTTAATCTACAATTGCTTGTAAAATTTTACAATTACTATGACAGATGTAGGTCATGATGAAAAGGCTTAATTTTTACATGTTAAGTATTACAGCATAATTTAAGAGGATTTGGATGATAAATTTTTAAATTTTTGTTGTTTGACTATTTAAGACCTCCCTGAATGATGAGGATGAAAACTCATCCATTTTAATCACTTTTGTCACGCCACTGCCTATATTTCTACCCTCCTCCCCTTTTGCTTGTTATTGAAAGTTCTCAATATATTTGACAATAAACTCCCATTTTATAAAAATAAATTTGCATTGACCTGTATAATAAAATAAATACTAACATTGTAAAGTATTTTTGTGGTTATTTTAAACGATTTATTATCATTCCAGATCACTCCAAAAATGCCTCAGGAATTATACAACAATTTTCAATATGACGTCCTATTCGAAAGTGAAGAGACAGCATACAGAGATGTAATACCAGCTCTTGGGCGGAAAGATGATTTTCCAAAGTAAGTTATGATATTTTTTTTAAACATACTCTTGTGCAGTGTTGTCCAACCTCAATATACGAAGAAATAATTCTAATCTAGATAAAGTATCACTGTTCATTGAACGAAGGAAATTAGTTCTAATCTAGATAAAGTATCACCGTTCATTGAACGAAGGAAATTAGTTCTAATCTAGATCAAGTATCATCGTTCATTGAACGAAGGAAATTAGTTCTAATCTAGATAAAGTATCACCGTTCATTGAACGAAGGAAATTAGTTCTAATCTAGATCAAGTATCATCGTTCATTGAACGAAGGAAATTAGTTCTAATCTAGATAAAGTATCACCGTTCATTGAACGAAGGAAATTAGTTCTAATCTAGATAAAGTATCACCGTTCATTGAACGAAGGAAATTAGTTCTAATCTAGATAAAGTATCACCGTTCATTAAACGAAGGAAATTAGTTCTAATCTAGATAAAGTATCACCGTTCATTGAACGAAGGAAATTAGTTCTAATCTAGATCAAGTATCATCGTTCATTGAACGAAGGAAATTAGTTCTAATCTAGATAAAGTATCACCGTTCATTGAACGAAGGAAATTAGTTCTAATCTAGATCAAGTATCATCGTTCATTGAACGAAGGAAATTAGTTCTAATCTAGATAAAGTATCACCGTTCATTGAACGAAGGAAATTAGTTCTAATCTAGATCAAGTATCATCGTTCATTGAACGAAGGAAATTAGTTCTAATCTAGATAAAGTATCACCGTTCATTAAACGAAGGAAATTAGTTCTAATCTAGATAAAGTATCACCGTTCATTGAACGAAGGAAATTAGTTCTAATCTAGATCAAGTATCATCGTTCATTGAACGAAGGAAATTAGTTCTAATCTAGATAAAGTATCACCGTTCATTGAACGAAAAAAATTAGTTCTAATCTAGATAAAGTATCACCGTTCATTGAACGAAGGAAATTAGTTCTAATCTAGATAAAGTATCACCGTTCATTGAACGAAGGAAATCAGTTCTAATCTAGATAAAGTATCACCGTTCATTGAACGAAGGAAATCAGTTCTAATCTAGATAAAATATAACCGTTCATTGAACGAAGGAAATTAGTTCTAATCTAGATAAAGTATCACCGTTCATTGAACGAAGGAAATCAGTTCTAATCTAGATAAAGTATCACCGTTCATTGAACGAAGGAAATTAGTTCTAATCTTGATAAAGTATCACCGTTCATTGAACGAAGGAAATTAGTTCTAATCTAGATAAAGTATCACCGTTCATTGAACGAAGGAAATCAGTTCTAATCTAGATAAAGTATCACCGTTCATTGAACGAAGGAAATTAGTTCTAATCTTGATAAAGTATCACCGTTCATTGAACGAAGGAAATCAGTTCTAATCTAGATAAAGTATCACCGTTCATTGAACGAAGGAAATTAGTTCTAATCTTGATAAAGTATCACCGTTCATTGAACGAAGGAAATTAGTTCTAATCTAGATAAAGTATCACCGTTCATTGAACGAAGGAAATCAGTTCTAATCTAGATAAAGTATCACCGTTCATTGAACGAAGGAAATTAGTTCTAATCTTGATAAAGTATCACCGTTCATTGAACGAAGGAAATTAGTTCTAATCTAGATAAAGTATCACCGTTCATTGAACGAAAAAAATTAGTTCTAATCTATATAAAGTATCACCGTTCATTGAACGAAGGAAATTAGTTCTAATCTAGATAAAGTATCATCGTTCATTGAACAAAGGAAATTAGTTCTAATCTAGATAAAGTATCACCGTTCATTGAACGAAGGAAATCAGTTCTAATCTAGATAAAGTATCATTGTTCATCGAACGAAGGAAATTAGTTCTAATTTAGAAAAAGTATCATCGTTCATTGAACGAAAGTAATCAGTTCTAATCTAGATTAAGTATTGAGTGTTCAATGAACTGAGGAACTTAGTTCTAATCTATGTAGATAAACCTAAAACTCTTTCTCGAAAATTTAACACAGTTTACCAATTAATTTACATTCATATTTCAGGTATTATTATTCGCACCGTGAGAAGACAAGAGCTGTAATGGTATTGGGTAACTTTAGCTACGAGGGATGGAAATTATCACAATCTCGTGTTAATTTGGATTTAAATCACATTCTTGTTGCTGGTATGTTGCTTTGAAAATTAATCGTACATGATGTGTGAATAAATAATGAGTGAAAAAAAATTATGTGCAAGAACCTCCATACATGAATATACTTTTATGTGTGTTAATGGATACATAAAAATTCGTGTTGGATTATATTTCATCATGAAAATGCTCTTTTAATCCATTGAAAACACCTGTTGAAAAGTGGAATCATGAAAAATATATAAGCGCACAGAGAATAAATTTTTTCATATCCATTTCAACAACAGATATTCAAAAAATGTTTCAAAAGCTTTCATATCCACGGGCAAAAAAAAATAAATGAAAAAGGAAACAGAAAATTCATTTTTAGGTGCTAGAAATGAAGCATGAAAAAAAATACTCCATCATGAATTTAGTAGAAAGAAGTGAGAGAAAAATTAAACCTGTGCATTACATTATTTTTATCCGGGAAGAACTGAGCTATAGTTGCAATTTTGATTCCCTCCTTTTTCCTCCTTGCAAATTTTTGTCTTCCTTTCTCATTAAAATTAAGTTGAAAGTTTTGTGCCGTTGAACTTTGTTTAATGAGATAAATTGATGATTAAGGCGCATGAATGGAAGATTGAGAAGCATTTTGTATGTTTTGGGATGTAAACTTTTAAGAATTTTGTGTAAGACAACATTAATTATTTCAATTGAATAAGCTCTTACATTTAAAGAAGATGGAAAGAAGATTTCCTTGATTTTTAGAAATTAAAATAATGAGCACCAATCTACATTTTACATTATGCACCACTCAGTCCTACCTCCATTTTGTCATCAATCTATAGCTTTTTTATATCATATACTTGAAAAATAACATTTAAACCCTTGAACAATACACTTTATTTAAAATAACTTCCTCCAACAATGACTACTTACGTACTTACTCATAAAATCACTATCAAAACTGACAAAGGACAAAACATCAAAAGAATGATAGTTTCCACTTATCAGCCGACAGCCATGAAATGAATGTCATATCGAAATGAATAGTTTCCCTTTTTTTGTGAAAACTTTTTGCTTAAAAAAACTTTCTTTTTGTTTTTCATTTTTTTCCCATACCTTATGCAATTTTCATTTGCATGGTAGATTAAAATTTTAACATTATGCCAGTCAAGTTTCATTTTCTTTCCTTTATTCTTTCGTCTGAATATGATATGGCAAAAAATGATAGGAAAAAGCACAACTTTTTTTTGCAATTAAAGTAGTCACCTGTAATTATATCATGTAAGGTTGAGAAATGTTTTAAATGTATGGCAGTGGTTCTCAAACTAAGTGCCGCGGCACACGTGTGTGTGTGTGTGTGTGTGTGTGTGTGTGTGTGTGTGTGTGTGTGTGTGTGTGTGTGTGTGTGTGTGTGTGTGTCCATATAAAAATTCCTTTATTTTTATGTTTAATGGCTTCATGGTCATGAAAGTCATTTAGGGTGACGCGAAATTTTGTTTTTGAACGTAGACCGTAGACCAAAAAAGTTTGAGAAACACTAATGCATATTAAATTTTGGAAGAAAGTTTTTGAGTTTTAGAAGAAAGTTGATTTTTTTGTAAGTTCGAAACAGCTTTGAGGGTTACAACCTTAGGGGTCGTTCACTTATGATGTCCGAGATTTAGGGAGTCTAGGTTTTGGTGACAGGACAAACAAAGAAAATTTTCTTCCAAATGAATTTTGTGACAAGGGGGTCTAAAAATCATGTTTTTTGACGGACGTCATAAGTGAATAACCCATGTGAATTTTAAAAATCATCCAACCGATGCGAGAGACAATGAAGAAGACTATGTTTTGATAGATTCAGATAGTATTGAAAGAATTAATTTAAATCATTCCATTCAAAAGTACTTAGCTCATAGCATGCAAGATAAAGGATAAACTTACACCAAAACATACAAAACTTCATTAAAAATGCATCACTAGGGATAACATATCTAGAAGCTAAGAAGCATATTTAAATAAATTTCAAAAAGAAAATAAATAATTCAATCATCATGCTTACTCACATTTGGCGAGCTATAAACTTTTCAATTTACGAACAATTGCTTTCCTCTCGCATTATATATCGTTTAAAAAATATAAATCAAACTTATCACGTGTTCTTTATTTAAGTGTATTTATATTTATTGTGAGTTTTCAACGCGTGCCCTAAATCGCAACCTTACTTTGATTGACGAGTGTAACAGTGACCGAATACAAAGAATTTAATCTTATTTTTCACTTCTATTTACTTTCTATGACTAAAGTTCGTGAATTGGGTAAATTTCATGGTGAATGTTACGCGTTAAAGGAATCAAATCATGGCCTATTTCATATTATCACAAAATCATTTCGAGAGTCACGCTATGCCATGGATTTTGATGAAATATATGGTGCTATGTTGAAGGCCTCACCAAAACGTGGAACACAAGCTATACGTGAGAATCATGAGCTACGTCGAATGATTCCAGAAGAATTCTTACAGAAGATTGAGAAATTGTCTGAAGACCCATGGAATTATTTCAAGAAATGTGTTTTACCTGTTGAACCGCTTGCAACTATCATTCATGGGGATTATTTGAGAAACAACATCGCTTTTCAATATGATGAGAAGGTAAAAAAGTTATTGCTGCAATTAGTTGTTGTGCTTTTAATGCTTTGATACTCGAAGAACTTAACATTTTTTTTTTAAATCTTAAAAATCTTTTTGAACAAATTTAAGCATTTTAAAAAATTTGAAAAAATCTTAGTGCCTACTCACAACCAAGTTCTAACCTCTTATTCCCCAACACAGGCACCACATTCACCAATCAAAGTGATGATGTTTGACTTCCAAACGCTACGTTATGCATCACCAATGATAGATCTCGCTGTCTTTCTTGCCAACTCAACAGGTACGGATGTACGTTCGACCCACTTTTCTTTCATCTTCAAAACATATCATGAAGAAGTTATCAAGACATTAATGTTTACCTTGAAGAAATTCCGACATGAGATTGATGATATTTATAGGTATGTACAAGAAATAAATATAAATTTGTTGGCTCATGCAATTCCTAAGGGTGAATTTGATCTAAACTCTTTTGGAGTATGTTGAGGTGGAGCAATAAGAATTGTTTTATATTTATTGTCATAATTGAGGGTTGCATTAATCTTTAATTTTTTATTTATAAACATTTTCCAACAATAGCTATGAAAACTTCTTACGTGAATATGCACGAATGTCAATGTATGGATACATCATTGCTGCTCAATTCCTTCAAGTGTTACACGATCCTGAGGAAATTGATTTTGAACAAATGTTTGCTGAAGGACAGCGGTTGGGTCCAGACTTCTTTGTTCAGGTATGTATTTTGTATAAATTTTGAAGAAGTATTCATTTAGAGCAGTGATGGTCAACCCATGTGCCGCGAAAAAATTCGAGAAATCTCACAAACCGTATGCGGTGTGCGGTTTTGGTCATGGCTTACCATCAAGATGCGCCTTGGCACAAAAAAGGTTGCTCACCACTAATTTAGGGTCATCCTTCAAAGATGAATTGTTATTTAAATGCATGTTCGTAAGACAAACTTAGTTGCTTAATCTAAGAAGCCTGTTTCGAGGGCTACCATTCTTTAGAATCGAGATTGAAGTGCTAACGTTGAGAGGAAGCATTTGTTTCTGACCATAGACAGGTTCTACGCAAAGATTAAGTAAACATAACTAGAAATCAAGCGCTAGAGTTCTAAGTCAACCCAAGTCAATTCAATTGTTGTTTGACTCAACTCTACAAAATTAATATTTGCATAGACACTTCATAATTAACATAAAGCAACTCTAGTTTTAAATTTCACTACAAATTAAATTTACATAAATCAATTATTTCAATCATAATTATGAACTTGATGCGTCTAGACATCAATTTATGCTTAAACTTTTATCCTTGAATTGTTCATTAAACTAATAAAGTTTAAATTTTAAACGCGAAGAATTTCATCGCATACATTAACTGATGAAGTTTATATCAAAGCTTACATATTTCATGAAACTTTTATTCTCTTTCTTTTTTGCCTTACTTAAAAATTATATTCACAACATACAGAAAGCTATGAAAGCTGGCGGTGAAGTTGTCAACTATGAGCTTGCAGGATTAATTTATGACATGTATAAGCTTCATCAAAAGCTGGGTATAGAGTTGGAGTGAAGAGCATCATAATTAATGTACCGAGACGAAGAGAATGGAACGAAATGGAAGAGATATGGTGTTGAGTTCTTAATTAACTTAAAATTTTTGTCAAATGAATAAAGAAAAAGTTTTTACAAAAAAAAATCCTTATTTGGTTAATTTATTTAATTTCCATGCACGATTTTATTTAAGTTTTTTAAATCTCAAATAGTCAACAACATAACCAGACTAATTAGAAACTGTATCACTGAGTTCATCTGTTCACTGGTCACAAAATTATCCTTTTCTGCTTATTTTTTGTATTCAGTAAATGAAACCAGATCATTAACATTAACAATTACATCTGCTGCCTGATTTTTTAAACATCATTTCTGAAATATTAGTTTGAATGCTGTAAGGTTCTTCGTTGACTGTGTGTCTGTCAACTGAATGAGTATGAAAATAGATTTTTGATGGATTTTAAAATTTTAAAAGATAAAACTCTATTCTGATTCAATCAAAGACCTTATATGAGATTTAAGGGGAATACTTTAGGGCTCCTGGTCGGGCGCGTAGCCATAGGGAATTCAGGTTGACAACCTTTCTTCAAATTACTAGGGTTCAAAGGTTCGGAACTGATAAATTTTCTATCCTTAATAATTAATTGTTTTTGATCAATTTTTAATATTTCCTGACTAGACCTCTGAATCCATATATACCCAATCATTAGAAAATGAAAAAAATTGCGCTTCAGTTTAACAAAACCAATCGTCAGTTTTATGAAACCAGCTAGTTTTCTCATTAGACAAAGCTATGAAAACACTGATTTCCTCAGAGATTCTCATTTAATATGTCTTTGAAATCTTCTTCAATTAATTTTCTCTTGTCATTTTAGTATAGCTTTTATCACTAATTTGGTTTGATGCACAAGCAAGCATGATTTCCTTTAAAAGTGTTTCCTATTTGTTTGGAAGATCACTTAAATAAGATTGAAATTGTAACTAAATTTCAATGACACAAATGATATCAATTTGAGATGTTTGATAATATATTTTGTAGAATTTGGTAGTAATTTTTGAATCTTAATTTCTTTTCTTAATTCTGAGAATATTATAAGATCTAAGTTTAGGAAGATTTCAAGAAAGTGTTTAAAATAAGCAATTGAATTATAAAGATTGAGACAACCTTGATTGAAAATCTAGTTGTAATGTTGTGAGTACTGTTCGACTCCTTGTCATATCGACAACATTTATAACGATTAAGAGATCTATCGCTGATGGGAATCGAACCCAAGTCCTCACAAATGAGGGGTTAAGATATCCAGTCCATTGCTCAACCACTTACGCCAACGAGGCCCAGCTCTCGCACTGGCAGATTCGGCTGTACATGACTTGATACCTCAGATTCCATCTCAGAAACATCCTGACTCCAATGAAAATCAAATTAAATTTCATAAACTGAGAAAATTACAACTAAAACTTCCATTTAGCATGTTGCCTAACTTTAAGGCGTTAATGCCATTAACACTTCGTCACTTAAGAACGAATGACGACAGAAAAAAAAGAGAGAAAATTATTTTTGAGCTTAATGTAGCGTAATATGCAGTAATTAAGTGCAACCACGATGATGTATGTGCATGCATGCTCTTTTTTTTTCGTTCATGAAAATATTTTTTCATCTTCACATTTTGTTGTCATCATATTTCATCCGTCACATCCGCTCAAAAGTGCTTTTAATTCTTCAAATTGCTCGCAATCATCCAAGTGCACATAATAGTAATAATATAAAATGTTCATGCTTTGATATACTTGCATATGCTATGCAATATAATGAATAGGGGTGAATGATTTATGCAAAATGTTTTAATGAATTTCATTCATTTTTGACATGCTTAAAAAATTATTATGAAATAAAATAATGCTGCTGCTATTTTGATGCAAGTGCAGTTTAGGATTTTTAAATGAAATATTTACCTGATTAGTTCGTGAATGCATAAAAATTAAATTTGTTTGAATTTTTAAAAAGGATAAAGATTTTTTTGGTAATGATCATTGAGCATTGAATATTATTATCAGCTTTAATCAAGGCGTGGAAACTATCCTAAATATCTCATTTGTCCCAAATATCCCAAAAATATTCAAAATAATCCCTGAGCCTGTATGCATTAGAATTGAGATATCCCATCATATCCTGAAATTACACGTCCAATACACTAAGGATACGTTGGGATATCTTTATTATCATGCATACAGGCTCAGGGATTGTTTTGGATATTTTTGGGACATTTGGGATAAATGGAATATTTGATATAGTTTCCACGCCTTGGCTTTAATCGAATGTGAGATGAAGTGACTCTGTTTTGAAATGGTATAGTCCTTCGGTACCTAATTATTTTAATACCGACACAGCCATCATGGGTTCGAGAGTTGGCATGAAATGAGGTTCGCAGCTTTCCTTCGGAGGCTACAGATTGAAATGTTATTAAAGGCGTGTTTCGGATCCCACTTTAAACTGTCACTAGCACCTAAAATTTATTTATCTATTTCGACTTAATCGATAGCTCCTTAATAATCGAGTATTAGATCTGCAGTAGGTTTTTAAAGCTATCAGTGGTACCTTACAATTTACATACATTATTCTTAATACGTCAGTGCTACACACATTGTAAATTCCTACAAGAATAGATCATTAAAAATCAAAATCGCTGAAATTTTAATTAAATAATGCAAAACGACTACATGCATAACATCAATAACTGTCAATAATCCCTCCAACAATCCCATCACATTTCAAAATCACTCAAAAACATTCTAATTTGCAACATTCAATCATATTCCAAGAACAACCAATGGCAATCCTTTAAACAATGTTATCTACACTGTTTGTCAAAGAGTCTCATAAAATAGGAAGCAAAGCTCGTCTGAACGAACTCTCTTGTACAATAATTTAGTGAACTAAAAACCTAGAATGAAAAACGTTTCCGCTTATTCGATTCTTCTCGGCACATCATAAACTGCAATAAAATTGTCAAAAGGAAAATGTTTCCCCTCATTCATATTTGCTTTGAGCTTTGGATATGAGCACATACAATATTATGTTTTATGTTTCCTTCAAAACATTTTCTCCATTTTTTTGATCCCATTATTGCTGTCATACCTATATTATCCCTGTTTTCCTGTTTTTTTGTATTTGTGCTAGATATTCTTTAGTATGAGATGTCATAGAAGTAATCCACTTATTTGAGTGACATGAGTAGGGGCAAAAATAAAGAACTGTGACTTAATCGGGGTCATTTTAAATTCTGGTTTTTTGAGCATTTTTAAATGTTTAAAAACTTAAACTTTTTCAATCCTTAAAGTTTTATCCGATTCAACTAATAGTACAAAATTAAAAGTGATGCAACGACTGTAGGTTCTAGACAGTAGCTATATAAAGGCTTTTAAGAGCTTTGATGGCTGCACCCCTTATTATTTATTACTTACATGTCGACGTTACCGTCCGGAAGAATTCGTATTTACACATGTTTTACTTTTTACATTGATACATATCATATCACTTTGCTGATGTAGAATCAAGCTTCCAATCTTCAAATATTGGTTTTGATCAAATTCAGGTTCTCCTTTCAATGTTCTGTGGGCGTTACGTGATACATTTCAGGTCCGTTCTGACAATATTCCATCATAAGGTAATCTTGTAGCTATCGTTGTTATATTTCCTGTTACACTTCAAAGTCCTGATGCGTTCCTTGATCTAACGTTCTCCAAAAGCCCAATTATGGCTTGATCTCGTACATTAAGCAGTCGAAGTATCTAAACTTCTGAAAAAGAACAAATTTGGAAATGGTTGGATTCGAACCGACGACCTTCAAGTTTCCATACCAAATTTGAGTTAAGCGCCTTACCTATTTGCTAGTCTCAGGGATAGTTGATGACTATGCTGATTATATGAACTATGATCCAAAACCAAAATTTATTTGTTATTACACCATTTTAAAAACTTTTTTTTTCTCTTGATAAACCTGGAGGAGATTTTTGAATGAATCACATAAACTCAGATGGAGCTATGTCAATACAATGAATTCTTTTAGTAAATTCTCTCAAACTCATCAAGGAATTCTTTCTATTATTGACTTCAAACATGAAATTGCCATTTGATTGATTCCATCTGATAATTGAAAAGAACAAAAAAAAAATCAATCGTAAATTGTAGTAAAAACATCTAAATCAAAGCTTTCAGTATTTTATTTCATTGCTCCTTAATTCCATTCCTCATTCCAGAAAACAACATTTTTCCATCAAAAAGCTACCTTCATGGGAATAAAAACAGGTTTTTTTCTCTCCTATGCAATAAGCTTTGATTACAATTTTTTTTTACAGTTTCATATGAAATAGTTTGAGTTGAAATTGTCCACAACTGCGTGTCCCATTTGTCCCATTAATTATTAACAATCGGAAATTTTTGTACGTTGATTTTTTTTCTTCTTCATTTTCACTTTTGTCATCGATTAAATGATAAGAGCGTCGCAGTGGGTGTAAAATACGGAACCGACAGAAAATGTTTTTTTCTCTTCAATTTAATGAATGGGTATGGTAAGTCCTCCACATGTTTTTATTGTGTCTGTGATTTATATTGAAAGTCACACAAGTTAGAAGTGAAGCAATTAAGTTTATTAATACTGTAATCAATCAATTATCCTGAATAAATGGGTGTGACAGGTTTTCATAAGGGTTACTTCCATTAGGTCTTTACCTTGTTATGGGAAAAATTCCATTTCGATGTTCTTCTCCTTCTTCTTTATTTTATGGAAAAAGTTTATTGTTTCTTTTGTTTTCTTTTTATGGCTGAGGGGGTTGAAATTTACTTTTGGCGATTGAATTATTGATTTTATATAAACTGTTGAGTGCTTATGCTTCAATTTCTATTAGAAAATATTTTTTTTCAATCCCGAATTATTTTTTAAAATAAAAATTTTCAGCTGAACTAGTCAATAAAGCACCAGAGGTGTAGTCAGGATTTTTTTAAAGGACATACTTATTTTGTTTGATTTAAACTTAAGAAATTTTAATCTCAAGGAGTGTACTTAACCATCTAAGGACCCCCCTTGACTACACGTCTGCAACGAACCATCAAAAAAATCATCATCGTATTTTATTAAT